GTTTTTAGTTTTTGATTTAAAAAATTCAGAGAAATGTGCTTAGAGAAGAAGTATGGGTACATAATTAGAGAGCAAATCCCTACAGGATTTAAAGAGATTAAAGTTTTTGGTGCAGAAGTACTGGTAAGTATTGATATAGGTCCTTTTAAAGGTTTTTCCTTGAAATTTCACAGTTTTTGTTTTTGAAAAACGTATATTAACTCGACAAAATCCTCGAATTTCTTCCTTCTAGCTTTCTTAGCTTAAAAAATTACCTGTTCGTCCTTGTGAATTCAAAAATGTTTAATTTTGTTAGATTCTAAATAAATTTCCTCTTGCATTTGGTACCCGTATTTTTACTCTATATTGTATTGAATTTTTAAAATAATTTTCGGCATTAATCATCTTTGAAATTACAAAGTCTTTTAAAATAAATCTTGGCGTCAGAGAGAAACAATAAAATGTCGCTTTGAATAAAAAAGTAGGTTGCAAAACAAATTATTTATTATTTATTTTATGGTAGAAAAGCAATATAGACGCCATTTTTCCGATTTAAGTTATTGAAAAGTAATGAATATCTAAATCCCGGAATTGCGATAACAACATTCCGAAAATCTCGGGATCGGAAAAAGCTGAAAAATTAACATCCCTAGTGTGTATTTATTTTAGCTGTCAAGGCGGTAAAACCACCGCAAAAGCAGCATGAAAGCTGTACGGGGCAGAGCCCAAGGCATATTCTACAAGGTAGAAGTGATTTCGACATTTCTTTCTTTTGAACGCCGCCTATAAGTCAAATGATGAATAACTTGTATCCCTTTTCAAGTTGGCATTTTCTATTTTGCATTAAGAATTCAACTGCGTACCATGAGCGAGTTTCGACCACATTCATATGTATATACATATACACATACATGCATGCATATACCAAAAGGAAAAGGAGCCAAGGCGTTAAGGTGGTGCGAAATTTTAAGACACCTAACCGACGGAAGTTTGTTTAGAATTAAATAAGTATTTGTATAGAAACTAAACGTGCATTGGGCAAATAAAAAAATGATAAAATTATTTAATTAAATACATACATACATCCGTATTTGTTCAATTTTATTTGTATACGTACATACATATGTACACATTAGATGAGAATGCAGTTAAAACACTTTAACCTTTATGTCAATAGCAACATACCCGGGTATGTTTTGCGTTTTAAAACTGTTATATCTTGGAAACTATTCATCTGATTGACTTGAAATTTCATGAAATCCTTAACAAAAATGTTCTGTGTCTGAGTGGGATTGGACCACCTGGGCCAGAGATCTGGCCATTTTTCGACTTTTGCACGGGGATGTAGATATATGTTGGCATGCAAATATGTATGTTGATACATTTGGGAAGTAAACTTTATTTTGAATAAAATTCTTAAAATAATACAGGAGTATAATGTTATTATAGTGAGATAATACTTGTGAAATAAAAAAAATAAAAAAATATGAATAAATTAGAAATTACTAGCTTTTTAACTACATCTAGATATTGCATTGCGGCATATTAGTACACACGGGTCTTTTGCAAACGGAAGTAGAACAATTACCCTTTGTTTTTATTCTGCCCGCACTGTCACGTTCTTCCTTGTAGCCTAGATACTGCAACATCCATTATCCTCAAAGGACCGACGTTTATTGCTTCAATGACGTTGCGTGTAGATAATATTATTCGACAATGTTATTCGACTAGTAGTAGTTCTCACTTCTATTTCTCTACTTATGTACGTAGTAAAGACATCTACATCTAGAATATTATAAAAAAATTTTCAAGGCCGCTTGGTTGAATATTCTGCAAGGCATTTATCTATGTTATCAACGCCACTTTTGCTTTGGTTGTAGTCTAGTAGTGGCTTCTTCTGATAACTCGATTTATTCCGTTTCGTCCACAATCTATTCAGATACGAAATGCCTGTCGTCACTGTTTTCCTTTCCAAAATCTTCTAACTTCTGGCAAATGTATCCTTGCTGTTTTTCGGGATCAAGTGCACTAAGTTGTCGTGGAGTAAGCCAATCACCATTTGCCATTTTTACTTTTATAAATTTTATTTCGTTGCGTAACATTTGGTTATAAAATCATTATATTTCTTCAGTCTCCAAGCTCGCACTAAAAATAAGTATTTTACACAAAAAAATACTCACCGATTTTAAAAAATTGCTATTGTTGTTAATTCGATTAAACCCCTTTCGTCTAATAAGTATATTTCTATACTTCGTATATAAAAAGTTTAGAAAAAACACTTAAACGGAAAAAAATAACAATTTTTTCTTATAAAAAAAAAATACAGAAAAATTACTAATTAGTAACACCATTGAGTACCGTATTTAAATAAAACAAATAACTAATAGTGCTTTAAGCACTAATTCGTTCTTGTTCACCGACAGCCCTGTTGAAAATAAAGCAAAATTATATGTAACAGAAGTCTAAGGCATATAAAAATATAAAAACACCATGGTTTTTGATTTTTTACATAACAGGTTATATATAAAAATTAAAGGTAATTTTCTGTTTTATTTAAATAAAGTATTCAATTGTATAACTAATTAGTAATTTGTTTGTTTAAAATATTTTTTATAAGAAAAACTTCTATTTTTTCCTTTAAGTGTCTTTTTTTCAAATTTTTATATACAAAGTATACAAATATGTATATCATAAGAAAGGGGGTATAATCGCCTTTAGAATGATACCAACCTTTTCAAAATCGGTTAGTCATTTTGTTGTGTAAATTTTTTTTATTAAAAACATTTATTTTTTTCCTTTAGATGTGTATTTCTCAAATTTTTATACACGAAGTATACAAATATGTATATCGAAAGAAATGGGATTTAATAGACTTTACAACGACATCAATGCTTTAAAAACTGTTAGTCATTTTTTTGTTTAAAATATTTTTTTTTATAAAATGTGTTTTTTCAAAAGTATGCTAATATGCATATCGAAATAAAGGGGGTTCAGTCGCCTTTACAACCATATATATATTTTTTATTTTAAATCAGTTCAAAATTGTTTACAATATAAGGAATTTAATTTTTCGAAGACCTGAAGTTTCACCCCTTATGGCATCTGTAATATTAGTTTGCAAAAAAAAGTTATATACCATTTAAATAGGAGCAAAAGGAGGACTACGTCTGTATTTTTAGGTTTTTAGTTATGTACATGCAATAATTAAATATAATTTTTTACCAAAGGTCGAAACTTTGAAGGCCCATATCTCGATTTCGGAGGCTAACTTGGAAAAACGGAGAAATTACTTTTTTATACCTATGACTCAATCTCTTAAAAAAAATTGGTTTGGTTCAATACCCAGAAAAAAGTTGATTTTGCCGTACAGTGTAATTATTTCTATAGTAGTAAGTATTAATATCTAATCTGTTCCAATTGCAATTACCCAAACTTACACTACGCTAAGTCCTATTTTTTTGTAAAAAGTGTATGTATTGTTGATCTCCCTTCATGAGGCGTGCTGAACTTTGACTCTGTTTTATTCTGTTAACATCATCAGACCCATTACTAGTCCCTGATAAGCAAAAATTTATCAGGTAAAAGTGTCACCGTTTTTGAAGTATTGACATTTTTTTATATAAAAAATCTACATTATTTTATGATAAATATGAGCTTAAAAAATAGGAATTAAAAAACGGTGACACTTTTACATGAAAAATGTTTGTTTATCAGGGAGCTCACCTCCCCACCTACCTTCTCCTAAACATCGGCAGGGTATTTCTTGGACATCTTGTTTATGTACCTACGTACATATATACATATGTTGATACATACTGCAGTAGCTATTTTCTCATCCTCATTTTGCTTTTACAGCCATAATAGAGTGTGGAAACAAAGCTACTTGACAGCCACTTCATCAAGTAAACTTTAAATGCTCGCTGCTGACATAATGAAAAATTTCCTTTTGCATCTTATTCACCTCGTTATAAATTTTTTGCTCTTAATAATGTTTTTATTTCTATGTTAAAAAGTTTTAAAACTCTCAAAGCGATGCACAAAAGAATTTCAGTAGAGAACCTTTAGTTAAATGAATGGAAGTTTAGGAAATTAAGGACAGTTTTTGTATGTAGATGTAAATCATAATGCTAATTCTCATAAAATTTAAAAGTAATTAAGACTTATCATATTATGAACACATGCGTACATATTATGTGCATACATACAATTGTAAACATTTTCTATATTAAATGTGAAAGCTTTTGAGTAAGGGGGCCACACACTCTTGTTGCCCATCCACGTTAAAACTGCTGGAATTATTTTAATGAAATTTGGCGCGCAGATAGGGTCATCCGAAATGAGTTAAAGAGGGCTTTATTTAAATTTTAAATAGATTGGCTAGATGTGTAAAACTTCAAAACCAACTTACATAGATAACGATTTAAGGGCCGTTTCCTCAAGTAGCTTTTAAAATATATATGCCCTTCTAAGACATTTTTCGAGAACAAAGTTTGTGTTTAAAGAAAGAAAACGGTCCTAGTGAAATATTTTAATATGGGTACAAAGCGATAGAGGTTTAAAAAACTTTACTTCAAAAGTACTCTTGAAGAGTGTTGCTGCCTGTTTAGCAATTCCAAATCAATGAAATTGAATAGTTTATTAAAATATTGTAATTTGTGTCTAAAATGCTTAAGTAAGCTTTATTTACAAAATACACGGTGTTACAAAATAAAAAATGAATAAAAACTTGCACAAACTTTTTAAGTGACCTTGTACAGGTCATAGAGCTGTCCGAGTAATTCACGTTACATCCCGAGCTAATAAAAGGGAGGCAAAGATGAGGTGCGGTGAGGTCAAAAGTTAGAACATACATATGTGTGCCTATATAATTGATTGTTTATTTAGTCTAAGGAATATAAGCAGTTTAAATGTAGAAAAGTATGAACATGTTATTTTACTTGCATAACTATAAAACTTGTTGTATGTATATTTATTTTATTCTATTATTATTATTCTAAAAGTATCTTTTTGCTTCATTTCAGTTAACTTCATATTTCAATGACACATCGTGGATTAACCCATCCGAGACCGATACGATAGTGGGTGAGGAACCTGATGCGGTGTCTCTTGTGTCAATTTTAGTTGTTGGTAAAGTAAATGTCGTTGAATGTCTATCAAGTGCATGAACGTGCACATATCTATAGTTATATACACACGCATACGTAAACAGATAATCAAAAACTATTCGTACCGTGACTCAAACAAGTGTTCACATGTTGATTACTTTTTAATATGCGCAATGTTTTCTAAGTTAACATTTTTGGTTATTTTTCTATAAATAATAATAATAGCAATAGATTGGCGCTTACATATATGTTAGTGTTTGGCCGAGCTTCCCCTCCGTCTTGTAGCGGCGCCTTAATGTTGTCACACAAAGCGGAGGGACCTACAGTTTTACGCCGACACCGAACGGCGATTGTATTTTTATGAGGTTATGTAGGTTTGCTATTGCCTGCCGAGAGACGACCGCTGTTAAAAAAAAAATAAAATTTATATATTTTTTTGCGATGCTGCTTTGACCAGGGCTTGAACCCAGGCGTTGCGGAGTGGAAGCGCGCCTTAACCTTACAATTGACTGATACTCTCGATTTAGTCCAATACATTTATTCTGTGTAGTTATTTATTCAGTATCCCTGCACCACATTTGCTGATAATGGGTATACTATTTTATTTCTCAGTATCTAGAATTCCTGTACCGCCATGATTCTATTTTTAAACCTATTCTAGTATCAATTAAGGTTCTCTTTAATTGTCTTATTTCGACTCACACCCGTGCGTAATATGCTAGGTTTGTTAATATTTCCTAAGAGTTACAAGGCAAAATATTTGGCTATTTAAAAAGAAGAAAATTACCATTGGATATCTTTGGTTATTAAGCCGAATTTGCACTTCGTTGCTCATTCCTCGGAAACCCCCAGAAAGAGTTACTTTTATTATACTACCACGTTAAATAAAATACTGAATTATTTTAAAATTCCAATTATGTGGGCAAACGTAATCAATATTTGATCAATTTATGCAGTTGGTATACGAAATGACAGATGGAAAGGCAAATATCTTCGCCAATTTTCGAAGGTCTAGTAATATGTTAGGCTAAACATATTCTCCTTATCAAGCTTATTAATTTTATAATTAAATTTCCGAAAACATAACTTTTGAACTACATCTCTGTATTTTTAAACGTGTGATATTTAAATACAATTAAGCCATTACCCTTAAATTAAAATTTAGCTGATCGTCATTTTATGTCATATTTCAGAGCGAATATCAATCTGTTTTTCTAAAAAGTCATCCTGAAAAGTAACAATGGCTCTTATCACTTTCACATTTGTACATAAGTAAGTATATACTGGTTTTGCATGGGTTTGAAAGCCAAGAATAGGTAAATAGTTCGCAGAAAGTTTGCGTGTTTGACAGTGACAGATTTGTGTAAGAGTAAACTGAACTAGTTCGGCTTGGAATGAATTTAACAATAGATGATTTCTTCCTGACCATCTACTATGGTCTTGGCTAGCAGAATTTGGAATTCAACTGGCCATCGCACAGACTAGCATTTACTGAAAAACGGTAGAATTTCGAACTTTAGTGCATGTAACTGGCATTGAGTATCTGAACAGGTAGTTGAATATTTATCTCTAACAGTCCTGCCATTGAGATGTAAATGCAGTCAGTTTATATAATGGCATAAATGATCTCCGGGATTCGCCATTGCCTGCCAACGGGCGAAAGCGATTAGAAAATATGTCTAGTAAATTTGACACACACAGAAAAATCAATAGGGGTGTTCTCTGAGTTTTGCAAAGCCCATGCACGGTACACGTATTGCACGGTGAAACCCGGTTTTCGTATGGGACGGCTTTGCAAACCGTGCAATCCGGAAGCCGTGCAAGGGCTTTGCAAGACTGCCAGAATGCCCCAAATATATTCGCTAAACTGCGTGCAAAATCTAGTAAAACTGCATTTTTCGCTTTCCTCTATAAAAAGCAATATGGGTATCAAAATTAAAGAGAAAATTTGGTGGAATTAACATACATGTAATACTTCTATATTGACAGTAAGCTAACTTCTAATGTCTAGTACCGGTTTGGTGTATGAGTTGTGTAAATGTTCGTTTATAAACGTGTGTGTCCCTTTTCCTTCGTATGTGTTTATTGATATGTCTGTAATGTAATGTTTTCGGACGGTACTAGCTCTTACTGCCTATATAGGAGTATTACCTATATGGGAATTAAGAAAAATTAAATTTCTCGGTATATAACGATGAATAGGTCCTGAAATGAAATGTACTTTCAAAATTTTATCCTTGAATATCCTTGAATGTTTGCAACATTTATTTAAAAAAAAAAAAATATATATTTTTAGGAATAATATAAACACGATAACATCCTCGAATTTCGCCTTTTTTACTCTATTAGCTTATTAGAGGCCATTGTGTGTAGTGGTAAGCAGTGCGCGCTACCATTCCGCAGGGCCTGGGTTCGAGCCCAGTTTCCGACTCGCATCGAAAAACAAAAGAAAGGGAAACGTTTTTTGTTATTAGCGTTCGCCAATCGGCAAGCAATGGCAAACCTCCGCGTGCATTTCTGCCATGAAAAAAAAACTCTCAAAAATATTTTCGGGGTTCGGAGTAGGCGTAAAGCTGTTGGTCCCTCCTCTTTGTGTGACAACATCAAGGGGTACACCACAAATCGGAGGAGAAGGTCGTATTTTTTAAGTCTAACTGAGTTGAAGAATACCATTCATACCTAAGACTACGAAAAAAATCTATGATTTTGGGTATATTAGAAAACCGAGTGCACTGAGAAAAGAGTATGAATAAAAATTTCATAAATCTAATTAAGGAAATTTTTGCACATGCAACAGTCCATAGCATGCATTTAGACGCTTGTTGTTAGTAGTCCCGCGCCTAAACAGGATATTTACTTGCAATCACTTTTCTTTGTTCTGATGGATTTTTAGTGCAAATAAATATAGCTCCATTAACATGAGAAATCATCCATTTTTATAATTATTATCTTTTTTTATTAATTTAAAAAATATGTATTATTTCTTTCTGTTTAAACTTATTTGCATCACTGTAATAAATCACTTTGTACTTTTATTCTCCCTACACCGTTTTTCATATGAGCACTTTATTAAATGTCATTCTAAGTATGTAATTTTCCACTTCACAAAGCCATGAAAACAAACAAAAAAAACTTTTCCAGCTTGCTTGCACGCAGCATGCCGCATGCTTTATAGCTTGCGCTTCTGCTTGACACTCGCATTATCATAACCAACTGTCAGTTTTCAAATACTCGCACTTACCTATTCACAGAGAAGAAGGTTCACATAACTGTCTCCCTGACCCTATTTATTTTTCCACTTATTTATCTTGAATTAACTTTTCCAGTAACTTATCCGGGCTTCAAGAGCATTTCTTATTTGAAATTTCAATTTCGTTTTTCTGATTTTTCCTTGCAAAGTCAAATTCCACATGCACATCTTTTATCTCTCCCATGTATGTATGTATGTACAAATGTATGTGCATATATATGTATGAACTATATATATGCATGGCTTCTGTCATTTCATTCAGTAAGTTTTCATGTTTGTTTATCTCCTTTTCTTTTCATTCCTTTTCTCACCCGGCTTTTCATCGCTCACCATAATACTGATGATGCACACCCGCAGGCATCTTCCTGTCAGTGCTGATTTTTCTATCGGTTGCCGGCAATATACTCGTCTGCCTCGCCATTTATACCGAACGCAGTTTACGGCGTATTGGAAATTTATTTCTGGCATCATTAGCGATAGCGGATTTATTCGTCGCATCCCTCGTGATGACATTTGCCGGCGTCAATGATCTACTGGGTGAGTATTCACTGTTTTATTGAAATTCAGATTTACACAGTGTGATTGTTTGCATAAGTGCATATATAAATATGTACATACATACATATAATACATAAGAATTCCTTCCTTCATTCGGGTGGTCAACAAAAAAGTTTAACCAACCAAGAATCCTCGCTGTTTCACTGGACGGAAGGGGTTTGCCACCTTGTATTTTCTTGGAATGGCGTGGTCTTTCCTTGATAATTCGTCACTTTTGCGATTCCTTAAAATATCATTAAATCTTCAGTTGGCCATCTAAAAACTAAATTCGTATAACATAAACAAATATCCAAATCAGACCATTGATACTAGATTTCTAAATATCTCGACTCAAGCGCAATTTTTAGCAGAATCACTTCTTATTATACAATTTTTTTCGGAAATAGTTTTTATGACTTACATAGTAGACCTACATACATATATTCCGAACACGGGACGTAAATAGGGGTTTTTTAAATATATATATATATAATAACAGATCTAAAGAAGAATCTCCAAAAATTGACTTAAATCCGTTAAGTGGTTTTTGAGCCAATCATTTTATATACACTAAGCGACAAATTAAAGTGTACACTTTGTTCTAATATAATATTCACAATTATTTTCATGAACAATTTTTTGCATTCGTTATTTATGAAAATATAATTTATTCCGTAATGTAAACTCTATATATGAAAGTTTCACATTTTATATAAATTTCACAAAAATTCAAAAAAGGTTCATCAAAATTTTTAACTTTTTATTCAGAATTTCTAGAAGATCTTCGATTCAATTCTATCCTAATGAAGTGCAAATGAACATAATACTAACCATAAGCATGAATTTATTATTAAATAAAATGTGGGAGACCGTTAGTAAAAAAATTAAAAAAAATCAACGCAATTTTTTGTAAATGGCACTTGTTATATAAAAACACTGCAAAAGCAGTCTCATAAAAAAACAAATTTCAAAAATCAACGCGGTTTTTTAGCCATTTGCAACTTGTGGCTAAAATTGAATTGGCTACAAAACTGTATACTCAAAAATTTTCTAAATATTCTAAATAAAAAGTTGAAAATTGTGATGAAAATTTTTTGGATTTTTGTGAACTTTATATAAAGTGTGAAACTTTGATGTGTATGGTTTATATTATAAAATCAACTTTATTTTTTATAAATAATCAATGCAAAAAATTGTTCATGAAAATAATTGTGAATATTATATTAAAACAAGGTGTACGCTTTCATATGTCGCCTAGTGTACATACATACATGCATATGTATGTAAATAGATTACACTCATAACATATGGTTGCAGTGCCAATTATAAAGAAGATGGAGATAAGTTTTCGGGTGAGTTTACCTCCTTTTAAAGGAATTAAGTCCTAGTGGTGCGACATTGAGCATAGCGTTCAGCGCTTGAGTAGGATTGGTCCGGTGTGCCCCGCTGATTCCAATGGGGGCCGCCCTTTGCACTCGTTCTAACTTCCTAACATGAGTGGTCTTTCCAGTGAGCCCCAATATAACATTATTGGCTTAATAATTGTTTCATATAGCCATTGCATGACTTTTGGGGAGAGGCCCCATCTCTTCCCCTTGGCATTCTTGCAGCAGTAGAGAGCCACCGATGCCTTCTTTACTCGTTCCTCAATGTTTGGCTTCCATGACAACTTCCCATTAAGGATCATGCCCAAAAACTTAACCCTGTCCGAGAGAACAAGTGGAACACCCCCTATTGACGGGAGCTGGGCATGAGGCTTTCTGTATCTCCTGGTAAGAATGAGCTCCGTCTTTCCAGGATTGACAGCAAGTCCGCAACTAGAGGACCAATTTGTCACGTCATCCGCGTAGGCAATAACCCGGCATTCTATCCTTTTCAACTCCTGCAAAACGTCGTTTATCACGACTATCCAGATAAAGGGTGAAAGGACGATTCCCTGCGGGGTGCCTCTGCTCACTTTACGCTGCTCAGAGGCGTTGCCCCATTCTTATCTACCCTTTAGGTAGGATTGCTGAGAGAGGCTAGAACGCTTTCGAGGAATCTTGTTTCTTATGTGCAGGTCAATCAGACTCTCAAAAGTCTTCAATAAGAAAGATGAGGGACTGATCGGTCTGAAGTTCCTCGGGGATACATGGGAGTTGTTTTCTTCTTTATAGATGAACGTGACCCTCACACTCGTCAAAGATCCCGGGATGTACCCTCTTTCAAAGCAGCTCGCATAGATAGGGGTGAGCCAGCAACACGAGACCTCCACAGGCTATTGCAGCTGCGCATGAACGATGACATCCGGTCTAGGGGGTTGCCCAGAGCAGTCGGCGCCTCTCCTGTAGTTCACCGGAGGAGAAGGTAAAGCAGTTGCCCATTCCAACACCGCGGGATTCAAACGGTGCAGAATTTTCTGGGAAATGAGTGTCAAGAAGTAGCTTAAGTGATTCCTCTCCACTCATCGCCCAGTTTCCCTCTTCGTCTTTCAAGTATCCCGATTAGAAGTTTATCCATGACTCGCTTTTGGCCTTCCTTATCTCGGACTTATAGACGCTCAGTCCGATCTTGTAGAGTTCCCAGTCGGAGTGTTGTACACTCTTCCTGGCTTTGTTGAAAAGGCGTCTACTCGGCGCCCTGAGTTCTGACAATACCACCGTCCAGCATTTTGACCGTACTTTGCCCCCGGGCCTACTCAGCGGGCATGAGCTTTCGATGGCACTCTTACAAGCTAATGTAAACTTCTCCACCATAACATCAATCGAGCCTTCGCTGTTTAAGGCCCCCTGGGAGTGGCTCCCGCAGTTTTTTACTTTCGAGGTCCCAGTTTGTTCTCCTAAGATTTCTAAACAGAGAAACTCTTAGAACGATCTTAATCTAGAAAAAACTGAGAATACCTATGGTCCGAAAAGGATTGATCGTTAAGAACCCTTTAATCGGAAACGCGGGATATCATAGAAGACGAGGCTAGGATAAAGTCAAGGACCTCTTGCCTAGCCGCAGAGATGAAGGTCAGTTCGTTTCCTTGTTTACAAATGCATAAGTCCCCACTTAGAATATAATCAAAAAGTGACTCACCTCTTGCATGGATATCTGAGCTTCCCCAGCACGAGTGTCGTGAAATTGCATCCGATCCGATAACAACTTCGGCTTTCCGTCGTCTCGCTTCGGCTATGGCTTCACGTAGCAGTAATGGAGGTGGTTCCACCTCGTCATCATGCGCCATGTATGCGGATATGATCCAGAGATTTCTGGCGCCGCTATGAGGCTAACAGTCACAATGTCCTCGTTGCTGAAATTAGGTACAATTAGTGCTTTGAATTCGTTTCTGATGAACATGCAAGATCTTGGTCTATCTGCTTGTTTCTGCACCATCAGCTTGAAATTAGGCGTCCTGATCCCGGAGATACCGCTACCGCTTAGCCACGGTTTCTGGATCAGGACTACGTCGGCTCCCCCTTGCTCAAGTTGGTTAAGGAGATTTGCGGACGCCGCCTTAGAGTGTTGGAGGTTTATTTGCAGGATCTTCATCCTCCAAAGTCCTCTCCATCCACGTCAGTTCAACGTCGCTCGATATATCATGAAAATGTGTTCGTAGACAGTTTACATGTGGAAATATGAAAGTAAGTATTGGCTCAATTAAAACACACACCGTTGATTTACATAAGAGGTTTTTAAAATAACACAGGCCAAACAAAAGAAGTTTTCGCCGAATTGGCCAAGTTTCAGATTCCGCGCGAAAAAAAATACATTGAGCAAAGTATCTCAAATATTTGACTTTTGTACTTTAAACGACGATATATGCATGTAGGTAATTCGCAACCAGCAGTTAATTTGGCTGAAGCCAAGCTCACAGGATTATCCATCGTCTGTAGTGTAGTAAAGATATTACGAAAGAGGGGAACAGATATCTTGCCTTTCGATAATTGAGCACCGACAGTAGTTAGGCAATGCATGTTTTTTTTTTGCGAATAAACTACCGAAGAAGCCAAGGGATACTGGCAAAAACTTTGACTCAATTTATGTCCATTCTAGAATTTTCGGAATTTTGAGCTGACCTCGACCGGTACTGTTCGGTAGACTGACTGAAAGATTGTTCCCTTAAATATTTTTTAGGTAAACCTCTGTATGGTTGACCACTTCAGTGTATTTGAGATGGACGTCATTTGAAGTCGAATGAATATTTGCTAATATTAGAAGTATTATAACTTGTTTGTTCGCATAACGGTTACTTATAACAGCCTAAATTAATTAAAATAGATATACATAGATATATCGCACACGATCTTCACCCAACTTAAAATTACACGTTCGTCAGAAAATTCGAAAAACCATTTTGTAGCACATGCGAATAATATGGGCAAGGGGACTTTAACTTAGGTTTTTTCAACAAATTTTAACAAAAATTTGCTCCAACTTTTGCTAAAATGTGCTGTGTAGGTACATTTTTAGTGCATAATTTCAAAAATGCCAAATTTTTCGTTGTGTAACTTTTGAAGATCGTGTGCGATATGTATGCCAAAATGCTGACAATGAGAAGAGAAATCGAGTAAACCATGAGATACCTCAACAAAATTTAATACTTAAGTGGGTTGCCCTTTATCCAAGATAGATTGATTTTGAAAATGGGCTAAGTCGCACAATAACCATGCCGCCTCCCACGTAACGGTACTTTCGTTAGGCGTGCAACCGAAAATAACCAAGGAGTTTTTGAGTCACCGTATGTGTCTATAAAGTAACTAGAAAAAGGAATTGCTAGATATTTTCCATATTTGCTAAATTTTTTCAAGTGAATGGTAAGTATTATTTTTCGTTAGTGGCAAACCTGTGTACAAGTCTCTTATCATTGCCGTTCTATTACATGCCGGAAAAAAATATCGTCCACTAACGAACAAAGATGAAAAGGCTTTGGGGGCTTTTGATGGAAGTATTCTATGCCTGAAATAAGAACTCAAATTTGTTATTTGGAAAATTTTGCTACAATATCCATCATTTATATTCACAATGTTAATTAAAAT